ATTCAAGATCCAGCAAAGGTGCTGCTGTCTTAGAAGTTACCTATTTAACCTTAGGCATAATCGCATTCAGTTTTGTGCTTAATTAAAATACTCAAACCGCGATAATTTCCAAAATTCCGGGAGAAAACGGGAAAATTGCTACTCGAGATTTGCTGGTCACCATAAAGATGAAGGAGATTTGAATGAATGTATGCCCCTAGGGTAGAATGCGGATCCTTCCCGTTTTTGGCAACACGAGATTTCTGTCTTTTTTGCATTCTATAAAATGTATGGAACGCTTTATTTAATTTGAAATTGTACTGGACCACTCTTCATGGGTTAGAGGTCCGTGTGGTATTTCATGAAAAAATGTCCATAAAGCACGAATATATTCTGAGGAAAGTTATAGCTGAGGGGTTGTGTTGCCATCCTATCCATTCAATCCGGAGCTCTCTTCCTTTTACATATAAGATCATTCATTGAAAACAATCACTTACCTTGAATGATTAGGTTACTTGAAAGATTGTGGGAGTCAGGCATGGAAAATCAATTACATTCATTTCGTGCATTAATTTACATTCATTTGCCTTAAACCGTTTTTACATAATTCTGTAAAATAATGAATCTTGTGTAGGCTTTGACATTAGCTACAACTTTTGTGAATAACTCAAATCTGTATCTCTTAAGCATGTCGAACTGGGGCCTAACTTAGCTCAGTCGGTAAAGGCACAGCTACAAAGCTAGACCATGCTGGAGGTGGCTGGGTTCAATGCCCGGTCCGGTCTAGGAATTTTTCGGGTTGGAAAATTTCTCGACTTCCCTGGGCATAGAAGCATGATTGGACTTGCCACACAATTATACCAATGCAAAAATGGTACAGACATCGAAAGTTCTCAATTAATAACTGTGGAAGTGCATCTAGAACAATAAGTTGAGAGCACGCAATAAGCTAATATGCGATATGCAATAAGCTTGAAATGCGAAGAAGAAGAAGAAGAAGAAGCATGTCGAACTAGAGTGGGCAGAACATGTAATTGTTTTTCAGTGAAATTAATCTACATTTTTCGCAATTTGTTTCGAATAGCTGTGTTGCTGTGGTGTCGCGTTGGACGGTTTTTCTTTTCACTTGTTTTTTAGGTGCTTTGCCTCCCTCCCAAGAAGCGTTTTATCGGGAATTTTTTTCTTTTCTTGGTGCTGGCGCTCTGCCTTCCGGAGGATGCACGCGAATGAGGTACTAGGCAAAATTCGGTGCAAATGAAAAACATGTGATTCAAAATGATTACCGCGAGTGAACAAACCGATGCTTTTTCGGAGGCAGAATTTGGTGAGATCCATCTGATTATTAATCAATCATAAATGCATATTTCCATATATTACTAAATACGCGCCAGATTTCGAAACATCACATTTCGAAATCTGGAAGTGTGTTTGCAGTACCATTATTTATATGATAACGGTAGTGTTTACATGTATGTATTGTATGTGAAAGTAACCTCGGAATGGACGTTAATTACCAGGCATTCTGAAATGGGTTGCTGAATCTGCAATAGAGCTATCGCTTTCTAACTCCCGGACTAAACTTGCTTTAAATTATTACATCAAGGATTGTTGTAAGCAAATTTCTTCCATACTACTGCCGGCCAGTGGGGGTTAGATTGAATACACACACACACACACACACACACACACACACACACACACACACAACACACACACACACACACACAGTAGCTACATAGTAGTTTATGCAGTTAAAATAATGTTCAGCTTATCCAGCATTAAATACAACGCTTATTCAGCTTTAAATAGCGAAAATTTGTGTTCAGAAGCAAATTCAACCATGCTGCCTTGGCAACTTATGTCTAGATAGTTTCTTACCGCTACTGAGTTACCTGACTTATATCGAATGTACGTTAAATACGGGAAACATGAATGTTCGCGGGTCGCAGATACAAGGTATATTCATTATAAGTTAGGTAACACAGTAGCCAGTGATATCACTGAGTAAGTCTCTAGGGTGCAGAGATGCTAGGTTATTTCATTTTTATTTTCATTTTCAAGGACAGAAGGGGGTTATAGCCATAAGGCCAGGTCTCCAGTGAAACATCACTGTCCATGCTGCACAAGGGTAGAGGTAAAGATTTGGCATCACAGAATAATAATTACAGGGATCAAGTGAATCCTGCTTAAGATGCCGGATAGGGAGGACTAGTGTTTTAAGTAGGGGATGGTCGGAGTAACAGTAGTAGTTGGAAAGTAAACGTACAGAGGATCATATTTTGCAATACCTGTAAATCTTGTTTTATGAGTTAATTTACTTGTGATAAAGGGTGATACGGTCAAAATTTGGTCAAGGGAAATCGGTGAAATCGTTTATTTAAAAAATCAAATTAAATTTCTTTTTCAAGTTCAATTAGTATAAAATTCAGGAAAAATATTCAGTTAGGCTTCCGCTTTTCCAAATCCGAATTGCCGGGCCTTACGCTTTACCCCTGCCATCAGATTTTGTACAGCCACCTTGTCCACCTTCTTCGCCGCAGAAAGCCAGTTTGCCTTGAACTGCTGCTCGCCCTTAGCAGTTTTTTTGGTCTTCTTTAGGTTCCGCTTGACAATAGCCCAGTATTTCTCAATTGGGCGGAGCTCTGGCGTGTTGGGAGGGTTCTTGTCCTTGGGAACCACCTGCACGTTGTTGGCGGCGTACCACTCCATGGCCTTTTTACCGTAATGGCAAGATGCCAAATCCGGCCAAAACAGTACGGAACAACCGTGTTTCTTCAGGAAAGGCAGCAGACGTTTATTCAAACACTCTTTCACGTAAATTTCTTGGTTGACAGTCCCGGAAGCTATGAAAATGCTGCTTTTCAAGCCACAGGTACAGATGGCTTGCCAAACCAGATATTTCTTTGCGAACTTTGACAGTTTCATGTGCTTGAAAACATCTGCTACTTTTCCCCTTCCTTTTGCCGTATAAAACTCCTGTCCCGGAAGCTGCTTGTAGTCGGCTTTGACGTAGGTTTCGTCGTCCATTACCACGCAGTCAAACTTCGTCAGCATCGTCGTGTACAGCCTCCGGGATCGCGCTTTGGCCGTCGTATTTTGTTTATCATCGCGATTTGGAGTCACTACCTTCTTGTAAGTCGATAGTCCGGCTCGTTTTTTGGCTCGATGCACGGTTGTAGACGATACACCCAGCTTATTTGCGGCATCTCGGAGAGAGAGGTTAGGGTTTCGCTTGAAACTACCGGCAACTCTCTTTGTCGTCTCAGCGGCTTCCGGTTTTCGATTTCCCCCCGATCCAGACTTCCTGACTGTCGACAAACGTTCCCCAAACACTTTAATTACATTTGTAACGGTTGATTTGGCAACTTTTAGCGATTTTGCCAACTTTGCGTGCGAGTAGCTCGGATTTTCGCGATGCGCGAGCAAAATTTTGATACGCTGCTCTTCTTGCTTGGACGGCATTTTGACAACTGAAGAGTGAATTCCAAAATCAAAATAGGAGCAACATTCTACACACACACACCTTCAAAATGAGGGGTGTTCAGGTTTTTTAAATGTAAAATTGAAAGAAATACGTCAAGTTGATATTGACCAAATTTTGACCGTATCACCCTTTATTTTTTGGCAAGCTTTGACATCTTTTGGTTTCTGACGTCCTCAGGGACATCGTCTTATAATGAGCAGTGAAGAACAGGAGCCCCGGAAGCTGCCGGAAGTCTGCTTTTACATACGTCTCGTCATCCATAACGAGACAATGCGGTTTTGTCAATATCTGGGTGTAGAGCTTCCGTGCACGTGATTTCCCTACCGTATTCTGTCGTTCATCGTGATTCGGTGCCTTTTGGACTTTGTACGTGTGTAGTCCTTCACGTTTTTTCGCATCTTGCACGAAAGTTTTGGTTAAATGCAGTTTCTTCGCCACATCTCTAACTGAACTGTTTGGATTGCTCTTGAACGCTTGAACTACCCGTTTGTGATCTTTTACACTATACGGAGATCCATTTTGCTTCCGATCGATGGTCAAACGTTCGTTGTACCGATTTAAAACACGGCTTACCATAGATTGTACCATTCCCAGCTTCCTGCTGATGGCACGATGAGAGAGATCCGGATTTTCGAGGCTGTTCTTCGGCCTCCATCTTCGCAACGATTGTACAGCTGCTAGTAAAACTTACACAGTGTAAACAATACACATTGAACAAATTTCACCCAAAATTTCAATAGAAAATACCCAATGGGTAAAAAGTTACAGCCAATTGAAAATGATGCAATTTGATTCCCATTCCGTACACCCTTTATATGATAGAATAAATCTGAAAACTGTCGGTTTTGTCAGTTTGATCGTTTGCTTCTGAAACCTATCTCAGACTGACTGACAAAGTTCGGTTTGGTACCGATAATAAACGAATTCGCTATTAGTTAAGGGCAGGTGCAAAGTTCCAGTTTGGACGTAGTAGCTTGGAAGTCAAACAAACACTTGACACCAACAAATTGTATTGTCGTTTCAGGGAGAATAATTCAACGCAACTAGCAACCACAGCATGACGCCAAATGCTAATTTTTATCTAAATTGGAAATACAAAAAATTACAACAAATATAAATGGAACAAATAACTCTGATAATAAGGCAACACCAGCTCAGTATTTAAATCAGGACACGATGACATTTTAAAAATCGCGGTATTTACACTTACTGCTACTGCAATAGTTAATGAGTAAATATGGAAAAAAAACCTAATCTCAGACCAGTGGCAAAACATTAAATCCATTTCCATCGCCATCAATAACAAACCTTACTCGGTAAACTCAGTGTAAGCCACTCCGAAAATTTATGATACATGGTAAAATGAGAAAATGGAACAGTCTTAACCCATCAACTATTAAACAATCGGAATGCGAAAAACTCGAGAAAGCAAAATCCCAACTTTACCCCGACTTCTGACCATTATATCCTTTTGAAAACAACAATTGAAAGTATAATTCAGCTTACAACTTTTCTCCTTTGCTCTTACTTCTTGCAGGCTGGCTCGGAGCACTCTCCACGGCGGTAGCCCTCTTCATCTCACCCATCACGATAGCGGTGTGCAAGCGGAAGTCCACTCGCCTCACGGCGGTCATCGGCGGACTTGTAACCGCACTGGGCTGTCTGTTCACCTCGTTCGCATCGCAGTTTCATCAACTTTTCTTCAGTTATGGTAAGAGGCGACGATGTGTTCCGCAGAAATATATGATTTTATGACTCTGTGGTTCTGTTGTTTGAATTTAGGTGCCGTCGTTGGCGTAGGGGTCGGTATGACCCGGGACTGCTCGACGCTGATGGTGGCGCAGTATTTTAAGAGACGGCGAGAATTTGTCGAAATATTTATAGTGTCCGGAAGTGGACTAGGAATAGCTGTTATGTCAACTTTCATTAAATCAGCCATCGATGCCATTGGGTGGCGTTTGGGACTGCAGGCGGTTACGGGGACTGTGTTCATAACGTTCATCCTTGGAACGTGTTATCGAAGTGCGTCCCTGTATCACCCTCAGAGGAGAGCAATTCTGCATCTGAAGAACCAAAAGCGAAAGATCAAAGACAAAAACAAACATGACGATGGACCGCCGTTTTTCGATTTTAGCACGCTGCGTAGCAAAACCGTACGGATACTGCTGGTGTCTACGGGGATAAGGTATACTGTGAGAAGTCCATATCAAATTTGAAGACACTAAACTAAACTTTATTACAGCGCTTTTGGAATCAACACTCCGATCTTCTACCTCGCGCATCAGGTCGAGCAAGACGGAATCAGCGACAAGGTGATGATTCTTCAGGTTTATCTGGGCTTGGCGTGGACGTTGGGCTGCGCAGCGTTTGGAATGCTAGTCGTTAGAAATAGTGTCGAGTGTCGCATAGCGCGACAATATCTATGCCAAACAGCAACCTTCATGTGTGGACTATGTATTCTGGCCCTGACGGCAGTTCACGGAAACTATCATGGATATGTGATGTTTGTGTGGATTTATGGGATCTTCTGCGGCGGGTATCATTACTCGTTGAAAATGTATACCTACGAGAAGGTGCGAGCGCGAAACTTTGCCCGAGCCTGGGGTTTCGTACAGTTTTCGCAAGCCATACCCATAGCGCTGGGAGTACCATTATCCGGTTATATGAACGTTGGAGGATCGGGCAAGGCAGGCTACTACTTCAGTTCGGCGTGTGCTCTGATCGGCAGTTTGTTTATGTTCCTGATTGATTTGCACCGAAGAAACGTATCTAGACATAAGCATACCAGGTAGGTTAACGCTCAGATTTTATGTCGGCCTTCAAACCAACCAGTTCTGCTTCTTTCTTCGACAGGGCAAACGGAACACGTCAACTGTGCGTTTCGGAAACATGTCCTCAACGAAGGAAGCTCTCGTTCTCGCAAGAACCGGACAACGAACCAGGTATCATCACCGGCAACACTGCAATGATGATCGGCCCGGAATTGCTGATACCACAGCTAAGCGATGGAATGGCCGAACCAGCTAACGGGATCGACAAACCAGAACTGACCTGCATCTCCGAGGAGGGCATCGCCGATATGGACCTCCCCGATAACCTTCTGGATGATCTAGACTACGTAGGAGACTGTATTACATCGTGCAACAAGGTGAGATGGCTGAAAATTGATTTCTGGAATAACAATATTAACCCAATGCTATTTTTCTCGAAAGGTCGAAAACTACCTAATGCTAAGCGAATTTGAAAATAATCTGAGTGCCGAAGTTCCTATCCTGCTGGACAAGCGTGGTCGAAAACTTTCAGTGTCCAAAACGAAAGCTCTGCTCGCTAGCCAGCTAAATTTTAAACATCATCCGGACTGTGCCCTGGAGCAGCAAGCCCACGCAAGACACGCTCCAATTTCACCCATCATTGAACATGAAGATACCTCGGAGAAAGACCATCTTGGAAATAGCCATCATCATCAACATCATCATCATCCGAATCTTCATCCCGATGGTGGAGGAGGGAATGGGAAAGCCTCGTTGAAGGGCGATAATCACACTAATGGCGGCAAGCATTGTCGATTGAGCCATAATTGGCGTCCAAATCAGCAAGCCGGGACGTTTCTTAGCAATCGTGCTATATCTGTGATCGACGAGGCATCCGTGTAGAAATCAAGGGTTTGATAGAGTGTCACATTACTTTGTTAAGCTTGCATTCGTTAATATGTGGTTGTTATAAATTTGTTTTTTTTTTGTTAGAATGAAATTTATTTAACAAATTTGAACACAAAATAAAAATCTGGGACTGAATAGGTTTAAATCGTACCTGATGTGATTGAAATGAAGAAAAGGCATTTTCTAACGCATGTGAAAAAGATTTAAAAGGATAAGAACAATACGCTTAGCAGAGTATATTAGAACAGAAGAGCGTGATTCAAGCGGAATGTTTTCTACTCTAACACTATTAGGTACCGCCATGCGAGTCTCTCCCCTTCAAACCCTTGTCTGTCTGCACATTCTGTAAATTTGAATCTAAGTCGGTCGTAGGAATATGAGCAACTACCAAATCTGAAACGGTCACTGCCTAAACGACTACGATAACAGAAAGTCACTAAATGCATTTACTTACAAACCTCAAAAGCAAAACATAATTATCCACTTATATCCTCATTAACTAGAGTCAATGAAAATCTACACTGAACCATTTTATCAGCTCTTTGTAAATAGTTACAGTTTGTGAACAACAGTTCGTAAAAAATCGTGACTCTGCAGCCTTTTATGCCAAACTATCTGCATGCAAAACATTTTGGTAGTACATGCCAACGGCAAAAAGAATGAAATGTACATTATTGTACATTTTCAACTAGTAAGTAAAATTCAACAATAAAACAAACAAAAAATCAATTATACACAACTAACTAAAATTGTGTTAAATCCATTGGATGATTTAAATCCTAAATATAAAAAAAAATAATGTTCAACATAAATATGTACTACTGATATATTTATACATATTTATTGCTATACGATATACAGCCTGAATTGTATATTTCATAATGAAAATAAAACCTAGTGAAAACTCAACAAAAACAATAAAGTAGACAAGTGTTTAGTAAAACGTGAATAAAAGTGCTATTTTTTTTTTTTAATTGCCAAAACTAATCTCACGTCCTCTTCGTCGAATATCACATGTCTATGGTAAATGGTCGTGCTTTATTGAACCATCAGGCACTTTGGAACTAGTCTTGAAAACAAAATAAAAGATTATCCAGCTAATAGCTTGCTCATTTATATTATTCATTTCGTGTTAATTTTTTCGCAAAGATCAAATATCTTTAAAAAGTAGAAGGGTCTGTGCCTAGGGGCACGAACGGAAGCTTGACGGAGGACCGCTAGTGGACGGAACAAATATGTCGAACTTTTAGTTCCTTTAATTGATCGATAATCTTTTATCTTAACTCTTTTCGTTTTTGAATTGGTGGCCCTGAGATGGGCCGTTATTTGTTTTTTTTTGTGGTGACCTTTTGATCGTTTGGGACGGCTACCGAGTAGCTGATGAAAAAATAGTGATTTTTGATACCTGTAATTTTAATAGTTTGTTTGTGATATTAAAAAAATTTAGTGTGTAGCTAGTGGTTTTAAAATTGATACGGAAACGTTTGAAACATTTACTCAAGAAACAGCGGAGACATACGTTTGACTGTATCCATGGTATCCGATTACTCCAATTCAATTTTAATCCACAGTTATAGAACATGCACTGCTACCAATAGGGCAGTTGTCAGAAGAACCTACACACTTAAATATTTTTGTCGAGATTCTAACAGCCGAGTAATTCTGCAATTTATTTTACTGAGATTCAGTAAAACAATTGCCTAGACTCAGCTAACAAATAATATTTTGCTGAGATGTCAGCTAACAAACAGATATTTTGCAGATATATCAGCAAAAGTAAATGCCGAGGTAATCGGCTTTTGGAGATTTTGCCGAGCTAGATTAAGTGTGTATTCAACGTGGATGTACTGAATAGACTGCTGCTTAGTTCTGGTCCTGAAATCACAGGTAAACAAGGTAATGATTATCATACGTGAAAGTAAATAAATATTCTTTTAGAATTAATAAAAATCCCGCGAAAAAAGTCAAGCGTTTTGACGACAGAAACATTGCAAATGTTACTCTCATGTTACTGCAAGAGAGCGAAAATCGGCTGGAAAAATAGAAGAGATAGAAGAAACATATGAAACAGACGTTTCTAATGAACAAGAAAATGTCTTCTCAAATTCGGAATGAGTTTAATTTCATTTGTTTATTTTTTTTTATAATTGTTATATATGTTGTTGCTGTGTAATACTTGGTGTAATATAATTATTTTCTTAGGGGGAAAGTTGATGGAATCCACAAATGGCCGCAATTTTGTTTATTTTGCCTTGCCACTTCGAATTTTTGGCGCCTCGAATCTCAGAAACTACAAAGTTTCCGTGCATGAAATTGTAATGACACGTGAAAAAAAAGAGTGATTATAATTTGACACACGAAATCCTTTTAGTTTCTGAGATCTGTGCCGCCAAAAATTCAAAGTGGCAAGGCAAAATAAACAAAATAGCGGCCATTTGTGGATTCCATCAACTTTCACCTTAAATCTCAAATCTAAATCTAAATATCTTGTTCTTTTTCAGCTGAACTTATTTTACAATGACTTTTTTTCATTTTCATTTTATGATGTACAAGGGGGTCAGAGGCCATGTCACCGATGTGAATTTGTGAATTCACACCATCCATAATACACCAGGGAAGGGGAGAGGAATGGGGAGAGGAGTGAGGAACACAGCATCTTTACCCATGGGGGTTAAAAAAGTTCTGCGAGGTACACTTATGGTGAGCCAGCTGCTCAGGGATTGTAGAAAGGAAAAGGGTTGGATAGGTTTAAAATGCAGAATTAAATGACGTCGCGATTTAATGTGCATGTTTAAATAACGTTGATCCAGGTACCTATCATATAAATTTGCATATCATCTATGATTGTTGTCAATAATACTTACAAAATGCAAGGATTGAAAGTTATCAATGGTTCAATGCGCTGATGTCTTATGATCATGCTCAATCAACTGCTCAGCAGGCAACATTGGTGTTTCTGGGGCGTTGAATAGGACACAAAAATCATGGCTACTATATGTCACACTGCAAAATACAGTGTTGCCTACAGAGCAGCTGCTTGATCATGTCATAAGTTTACCAATCTCTTAAATAATTAATAACTTTTTCCTGTCTCGTTTTACATAGAAACGATCTTCAGCAAAGTTGTAGCTGAGAAAATGTTCTTTAATAATGGCTATCGAACTGTTTCGCAGCTCAATATGGAAAAATACTAGAAGGCAATGAACAAAAAGTTGAGATTTCCCATAGTAATTTACATGTAAACTTCAAATGGCTTGTGCGAAGTCTGTTTCTAACCAAATGAGTTGTAACTTTGGGAGGCTACCCGATTTGAAACCATTTAAGCCCTGTGGAGCGAAAAAGTCAAATTTTGCATCAGTCTAATAACTCATCCTAATATTCATTGACGTTTTTTTGAAGAATAAACCTTATGTTTTTAATAAAAAATACTGAACTACTGAAATTTTTTTACTAGCTATATGACTGAAAAAAATTTCATTTCTTATTGAACACCTACCTTGTTTCATCGACTGAATAGCCTCTATCGAACTGAGACTATCCGAGAAGATGAAGTAATGGTCTGCGGGCATGTTGGAAATCATCCCCAATGCGAAGTTGATTGCTGCCAGCTCAGCAACAAAAACGGAACAAGGTTCCTGGAGTTTGCGGAAGGCGCTAGAGTTTTCATTGAAGACACCGAAGCCAGTGGATCCATTGAGACGGGACCCGTCTGTAAAATATCTTTTCATGCAATTGACTTGTTGGTACTTTTCAGTAAAAATACGCGGAATAATAATAGGTCGAAGTTGATCGGGAATCCCATGAGTTGCTTGTTTCATGGTCAGATCGTATTCAATTGAGGAACTGCGATTGGTGAAGTGAACACGGTCTGGAGTATAACAAGGAAGACACATATCTGATGATATGTAGTGGTGGTAGATTCTCATAAATCGAGATTGTGTGTTCAGCTCAAGAATTTCTTCAAAATTAGCAATTATAAGTGTGTTTGTCACTCCGCATTTGATTAGTATTCTGAGAGAGAGCTCCCAGAAACGGTTCTGGAGGGGTGTTACTCCTGCCAGAACCTCGAGACTCATGTTATGCGTTGAGTGCATACAGCCTAGAGCAATACGCAGACAACGATATTGAATTCGTTCCAATTTTATTAGGTGACTTTTTCTTGCCGAGAGAAAGCAGAAAGAGCCGTACTCTAGAACAGAGAGAATTGTTGTTTTATAAAGCGTTATGAGGTCTCCATGTGCCGCAAATTGAACGGAGAAAGTTGATCCTTTGCTGACATTTTTGCTTCAAATACGTAATATGGGCATTCCAAGTGCACTTTGAATCAAACCAGACCCCAAGGTACTTGAAAGACAATGATTGGGTAATGTTTCTGCCCAAAAGATTAAGCTGCATTTGGGCTGGGTACCGCTTTCGAGTAAACACTACCAGTTCAGTTTTCTGCGGCGAGAAATCGATCCCTAGATTCATAGCCCAAGAAGATAAGTTTTCTAAGGAATTTTGCAAAGGTCCTTGCAAGTGCACGGCATGTGGACCTCTTACGGAAACCACACCGTCATCTGCAAGTTGTCTTAGCTGCCAAACAGTTGTCGATATCTTTGACATAAAAGTTATAAAGAAGAGGGCTGAGACATGAGCCTTGGGGCAGGCCCATGTAGCTAATTCTGGAAGTTGTCAGTTGTCCAAGGGAAAAGTTCATTTGCTTTTCTGACAACAAATTGTACAAGAAATTATTTAAAATTCCAGAAAGTCCACATCTGTGCAAATTGTCTGACAGAATTTCAATGGAAACTGAATCAAAAGCCCCCTTAATGTCCAAGAATACTGAAGCCAATTGCTCCTTGTGCGCAAAGGCCAGTTGAATATCTGTGGAAAGCAGCGCTAGACAATCGTTTGTTCCTTTGCTCTTGCGGAACCCAAACTGTGTATTTGATAGCAAGTTATTTGTTTCGACCCACTGATCGAGTCTCCGAAGGATCATTTTCTCCAACAATTTCCCAATGCACGAAAGCATCGCAATCGGGCGGTATGAGTTATGGTCAGACGCTGGTTTGCCAGGTTTTCGAATGGCTATTACTTTGACCTGTCTCCATTCAGGCGGTATAATGTTGTTTTCTAGTAAGGAATTGAATAAGTCTAGCAAGCGTCTTTTAGCGATATCTGGGAGATTTTTCAGAAGATTGAATTTAATCATATCGCTTCCCAGTGAGGAGTTGTTCGATGATAGAAGAGCCATAGAGAATTCCAGCATTGTAAATGGTCTATCCAGAGAGCTGCCGCTCGGAAACGCTTCTCGAAGAATGTGTTGTGCTTGAACTGAGTCCGGACAGACCTTTTTAGCGAAATCGAATATCCATCGGTTGGGGTCCCAACAAACAATTTGAGTTGATCAACAGCTGAATAAGCCATTTTTTAGCTGAAGAAGCTTATTTTTGCCTGAAGAAGGTCATATTCAACATTCATTGTTTGTTGGGGTATTCTTCACTCTCATTAGATGATGAGCGGTTACGTATGTTGCGAGCCACCCTCCACAAGGTGTTCATTGAGGTTTCTCGTGAGCCTCTCTGAA